AGGGATGTCCGATTTACCAGCGAATTGTGGAAGGCCGCTGCTGTAGAGCAGGGAACCCAATTGCAAATGACTTCTGGGAATCACCCAGAGGCCAACGGCCAGGCCGAGCAACTGAACCGCGCTGTACAACATCTGTTGAGGCATTACATCAAGCCCAGCCAGGTGGACTGGGATGAGAAGCTTGCTCTCATCGCCAATTTGTACAACAATGCGGTACACAGCGCCACCGGGGTGAGCCCGAACAGTTTGCTATTGACTTTCAAGCCTAGACTACCCTTAGATTTTCTCCTTCCTAAGAGTCAGTCAACTGCTGCACCAGGTAGAATTTGCTTACCGTTATGAACAGAAGATGCAGCAGGCTGTAGAACAGATGCAAAAGGCACAGGCGGCTATGATCTGCGAACAAACACCGCCGTGAGTCTTCATTTCAGGTTGGGGATAGAGTCTGGGTTAAGTCTTCAGAACTGGGACAGAAGCACGGGATCTCCCGCAAGCTCATGCCACAGTACTTTGGACCATGGGAAGTCTTAGATATTGTTGGGACTGATCCAGATGGACCTTCTTACATAGTCCGGATCCCTGGTCATCTCCGTACTTACCCTGTCTTTCACGCCTCCAAGCTTGCACTGTTCAAAGAAACAGATCAGTTTCCATCTCGCCGCTCAATGCTCCCCCCAACCATGGACGGAGAGGTGGATATCGATGATATCGTGGACCACAGGGAGCTGCCAGTGACCAGATCAACAGGCAGGGGACGCCCTTCGATACCGAAGCTGCAGTACCATGTTCGGTTCCGGCATCACACTGATCCGAAGGAGGACCGCTGGTTCAGCAGGGAGGAACTCATGCAGACCGCTCCGCAAGTTGTAGCCCATTACGAGAGATCTCTGCAGAAGGGAAAGCGACCAATGATTGAAGACTGACCTTCTCAGAGGATTGTTGAAGCTAAGGAGGAGGGAATGCGAGGCCAATGCCTCTATGAGCCCCCTTATGGCCCCATTCGGAAGCAAGTCGGCCGCCCTAAGTGAAGGCAGGCTCGACGAGGCCCTCAGGGCCCTATTTTGGTCACCACGCAACTCATGGAAATTCAGGCAGTTGCGCAGCGCCAGTTGGTTGAGAGGACCCAGGCCCTGGGCCGCCTGTGTGAATGTATGGAAAGCAGGCCCTGGGCTGGATACGGGTACTGGGCCGAACACAGGCCACAGGCAGTTGGGCACATGCAACCACCTCAGGCCCAAGGCCTGTTCTCGTTYGTGCTGGGCCTCAGGTTACCGGGGCCTACTGGAAGCTTCCTGGGACTGGACACAGGCAGGCCACTTCGATATAGCAAAGAGCCTGCCTCCGCATTCGGCATTCGGGTGCTGGCTGCATGCTGCGCAAGCGCTGCTGCACTATTTGCTGGCTGGCGCCTACACACTCACGGGTGAGCAGGGAAGGAGCAGGCATCCATAGCCGAGCTGCGCTGCTGTAAGCTGGGTATGGCGCAGGGTGGTCCTTGGGTGCCAGTGGCATCTGTGTGTTGGGGAATGAGGTTGTGAGTGTGGCGAGAGACATACCTGGTGCTGGAAGCGTGCGACATTGGTCGCTGTATGCTCGTACTTCGGGGAAGCTGTCGATGTCATCATTCGGCATTGTAGTCTAGGCTAGATAGGATCTGCCATCTGTAGTCTGGGCGCCGAGCGCCAGATAGGATATCAACATTGGTTCTTCATTGATGATGATGATGAGACTTTACCAGCATTGTCAATTTTGAGCTTTTGGTGTCTTCTTATTTGGTGAAACTCGTGGTGCAATTCTGCTGTTGGTTCGAGGTCACAACTATCTGGTCTTGTGTATATGATGCTGTGTGATTGCTGAAGTTCGCTATTGCTCATCTTCCTTGCACTGGGTTCATTACACACACAATTCTGAGCATGAGACTTTGCCAAAGTCAGCTCGCCCAAAATTTTGTGCACCACCTCTGACTGCAGCAGCCGGTAGGCCGAGCCCCCCTGCAGCCTGCTCATAGGTGGTGCAGTCACCAGAAATGCATCTTGCATGTGGCAAGGGGATTGCTGGTTTAATCTGGAATGGTCGGTCTGGCTGAGTATGTGGCCAATACCAAGTAGGAAATGTTCAGGTATGCGCTTTCCATATTCCTGTTTTGGCATGTTCTGGCTGCTAATGGTTCTCTGCGTTTGGGACTTAATCTGGAAAGCTCTGGATCATGCTGTTTTGGAAATGTTCAGGTGTGCACTCCTATTTGGGTATGTTTTGGCTTCTTATAGTCCTGTGCAAGGAATATGAGTGTGAACGATATACAGAAAACCAAGTTGCGAAATCACAGAGATGTCCAAGTAGTCGTGTCCAAGCAGAGAGTACAAATGCATTGAGAAAACCATCCATATAGAGCAATACAATGAAGTAATGAGTCAATGTCCAAGCCCGTAGGCCACACCAACACAGTATCCAAAGTTGCTCCTCTCTGTCTGGCGCCCAGCGCCCAGCCTACTCTACCCGACTATCCTACCTACATTTGGTTCACGCAACAGGCTCACTTCGACACTCGAAGACCAATGTACATGACTGTCAACACCATAGCCGACCTCCCTTCATGCACCAGGTACGTATCTCGTCACCCTCAATCAGACCTTGATTACCCCACACTCGCCTCCCTCACTGAAGACCACTCGATCGCCCGCATTACCCCCTGGCGCCCAGCAGCCCGGCTATGACCACCTGTGCCCCGCTGCCCTGCAGCGCCCCACTTCACCACTATGCGCCCCGTCAGCGCCCTTGGCAGCAGCGCAGCATCAAGCGATAGCGCAGGAGCACTTCCACATTGCCAGCACTGGCCAGAATGCCTGGCTTGGGCTGCCTCACTTCTTTTAGGGAAGTGGCAGCCTC